TTTATATTTATATTGCGCGCGTTTGTACCAGAAGTTTAGAGCGGGGGGAGACGCAGCCGAGCTGTGCCCGCACTGGCAGTTCAGAGCGGGGTGGGGAGAGAGAAAAAAGATGAGCTGCGTTTGTACCGGCACTTTAGAGTTTAGCAGTTTAGTTTAGAACTGGATGGAGAGACAGCTGAGCCGCACGTTGTTTGTTTTTATCTTTTTAGCTAGCTAGTATTGCACGCAATTAATTAGCATTACACCAGTACCTAACGGTGGAGGGAGGGGGGATGCACAGTTCGGTTCAGTCGTTTGGCGCGCTCGATTCTGTTAACGGGGCGGGGCACCCTGACGTATTACATCATGAACTTAGCATATCATGATATCATTTATTTTCCCAGGCAAGCTTTTTTTTTTACTGGTATTATCGTGATCGATGTGATATGGCCCAGCCCTACCTGGTACAGTATTTTAGACATCAGCAAAGCAAAGTCTTTATACATTTATAAAGGAAATCAATAGATGATTAAAAACACAAGACTTAAATGGCATGTCCTTGTAAAATAATAAATAAATGGGCATAGAGCTTCTTGTTGGCTGGTATCCATGATGTATTCAATGTTTGCTGAAAGGAAAAATGACAAACTAAAAATTCCAGATGTGGGGTTTTAATAAAAGTTCAAATGTAACCTTTAGCTGTTCTGAGAGTAGAACAAAACAAACACACAAGAAAGAAAATCACATTAGGTGGATATAAAGGTGAAGTCTTCTCTCTAAATAATTAAACTAATAAATTTAACTTTTTTATTTAATTAAAAAAAGCAGGTTGGTTACATTCGGTTACATCAGCTCCTTTTTTAAACACCAAAACACACAACACAGAAACACACACAGGCCCACTCCTACAAAACCTCAGGTGAGACACAAACACACATTAAACTCAGGTTGACTGCAGTTTGTCACACACACCTCCCATGAAGCCAAGGCTAACCTCCTCCTCCTCCTGCTTCCAGCCCAGCTGCGCTCTGTGCAGGAGGAGATGAACAGCCTGGAAGAGGAAAAGGAGAGCGAGCTAACCGAGGCCCAGGAGGAGCTGCGTACGGCCCAGGAGGAGGTGCTCCTGCTGCAGCAGGCGGCCGAGGAGGCCGCCGCCGAGCGGGAGAACGACATTGCGTCGCTGCAGGAGGAGCTGTGTCGCCGGCGGGCAGAGCTGCAGCATCTCACTGAGGAGACCCAGGAGTACGAGCTGGAGATCACCACTCTGAGGGCAGAGATCAGCATGAAGAGCCAGCGCAGGGAGGCTGAGAGGAGAGAGGGTGAGAGTAACGAGGGAGAAGAAAAACACAAATGATTGATGTCAAATAAGAAATGTAAAACAGAAAAAGTTGTTTTTTTCTCAAACAAACATCTGCACAATGTCCAAACAGCAATGAACGAGCCAAACGATGAAGTCAACGACTAATGACAGAGATTTATGCCTCCGCTCAGTTTATGGAATTAATCCAACATGCTGCTGAAACAAATCACCTACAGTCAGTCACTGAGGCTGAGATTACACAAACAAAACAGGAGGTTATGAATGGTCTTCTTCCCTCACATCATGTTAGCATCCTGCTGTCAGGAGCATAAATCATCTACAGGCAGCAATAATTACAAAGATGATTGTTGAGGATTGCACAGGGTGTGGTGTGTGTGTGCGCACCTCTGTGTGTTTGTGCGTGTGTAACTCATATACAAGGATCATGAGATCATGACACAGAGGGATGCACTTTTCCAACATACAACATAACCAGAAAGTTCAACAGCTGAGCAGTGGCTGGGACAAAGAAAGGCATTCTCATGTTGTTTTTTTGTATTTTTCTTTTATATATTTATACAAAACATCAGCATGAATGTGATTTAAACATAAATTTCATCAAAGTCAGACTTGGTGTTCATTTAAACGTAACAGTTTGACAGTTAAAGATTGACATTCATTGCACGTTTCTTCCTAAATTTTATGTTGTTTTTTTCTAACCCGATGTTTTTCTAAATGTTTATTTTACAAACATACTGTATGTGAGGGTGGTCTCAAGCTTTAGGAAATATTTTCAGAATGATACACTTTCATATTTGCTCTAATTATAACAATTCCACAAGCAGAGACATTAAATCTGAACTCCACTGGCTTGCATAAATTTTAACAGTACTTAAGCAAAGTATGAAATCAAACATTAAACAAAGTTATTCTGAACTGTACATCAAATGGTGCAGTTTAAACCAGCCACTAGGGAGCACAGGCCAGTGTATCTCTTGTGCTGGTCCCAAGATTGGATAAATGGTGAGGGTTGTGGCAGGAAGGGCATCTGAGGTAAAACACTTTTGCCAAAACTAATGCGAGTTCATCAAAGCGAAACCATACCGGATCGGTCGAGGCCCGGGTTAACAACGATCATCACCGGTGCTGTTGACAAACGGTGCCGGCGGAAATTGTGCTACTGTTAGTCAAAGACCACGAGGAGGGAAACATGTAAGGAGACAGAGGGAGAAGAGGAAAGTCAAGAATGTAGGACTGAGGGTTGCAACTCTAAATGTGGGGACAGTGACAGGCAAAGGTAGAGAGCTGGCTGACATGATGCAGAGAAGGAAGGTAGATGTTTTATGTGTCCAAGAGACCAAGTGGAAGGGCAGCAAGGCTCACAGCATTGGAGCAGGGTTCAAACTGTTTTACCATGGTATGGATAGAAAGAGAAATGGAGTAGGGGTGGTCCTGAAGAAGGAGTTGGCAAATATTGTAGTAGAGGTGAAGAGAGAGTCAGACAGGGTGATGTGCATGAAGGTAGAAGCAGAAGGTCTGATGCTAAATGTTGTCAATGGTTATGCTCCACAGGTTGGATGTGATGTAGAGGAGAAAGACACATTTTGGAAGGATCTGGTTGAAATTATAGAGAGTATTTCCAGGGAGGACAAAGTGATCGGAGCAGACCTGAATGAACATGTTGGTGAAAGAAACAAAGGGGATGAGGAAGTGATGGGTAGGTTTGATGTCAAGGAAAGAAACCAGGAAGGACAGATGGTGGTGGATTTTGCCAATAGAATGGAAATGGTGTCAACACTTATTTCCAAAAGAGGGAGGAATATAGAGTGACCTGTAAGTGTGGAGCAAGGAGTACGCAGGTCAACTACATTCTGTGTACAAGAGGAAACCTGAGGGAGATTGGGGACTGTAAGGTTGTGGCAGAGGAGAGCGTGGCCAGACAGCATCGGCTGGTTGTGTGTAGAATGATTGTTGTTGAAAAGAAGATAAAAAAGAGTAAAATCAGAGAAGAAGACCAAATGGTGGAAGTTGAAGAAGGAAGAATGTTGTGAGGAGTTCAGAGAGGAACTGTTAAAGTCACTGGGTGGTAAGAAAGAGCTTCCAAATGACTGGACTACTACAGCAACAGAAAGTAGAGATACAGGTAGGAAGGTACTTGGTGTGTCATCTGGACAGTGAATGGATGATAAGGAAACCTGGTGGTGGAATAGTGAAGTGTAGGAAGCTATTCAGAGAAGAGGTTAGCCAAGAAGAAATATGACAGTGAGAGGACTGAAGAGAGGAGACAGGAATTTTAGGAGATGCAATGTAGAGCAAAGAGGGAGGTGGCAAAGGCAAAGTAGAAGGCATATGATGAGTTGTGTGGAAGACTGGACACTAAAGAGGGCAAGAAGGATTTGTACTGATTGGTGAGACAGAGGGATTAGGCTGGAAAGGATGTGCAGCAGGTTAGACTTGTTAAAGATAGGTATGGTAATGTTCTAAAAAGTGATGAGAGTGTGACGGAAAGATGGAAGTAGTACTTTGAGGAGCTAATCAATGAAGAAAATGAAAGAAAAAGAAAAAGAAAGGAGAGCAGAGGTCACATAAACTGTGGACCAGGAAGTGGGAAAGATTAGTGAGGATAAAGTTCAGAAAGCTCTGAAAAGAATGAAGAAGGGGAAGGCAGTAGGACCTGAGAACATACCAGTGGAGGTTTGGAAATGTCTTGGAGAGATAGCAGTGAGGTTTCTTTTTACTCAAATATTCAATGGCATATATGAGGGTGAGAAAATGCCTGAGGAATGGAGAAGAGAACAAGTGTGCTGTGCCCATTTTTAAGAACAAGGGCGATGTACAGAGTTGTAACAACTACTGAGGAATTACGTTGATGAGTCACTCAAAGAAGATCTGGGGGAGAGTTGTGGAAGCAAGACTTAGACGAGAGGTGACTATTTGTGAGCAGCAGTATGGTTTCATGCTGAGAAAGAGCACCACAGATGCCATTTTTGCTTTGAGGTTGCTGATGGAGAAGTACAGAGAGGGTCAGAAAGAACTCCACTGTGTCTTTGTGGATTTAGAAAAAGCATATGACAGAGTGCCGAGGGAGGAGGTGTGGTATTGTATGAGAAAATCTGGAGTGGCAGAGAAGTATGTTAGACACAGGACATGTGTGAGGACAGCAGGACAATGGTGAGATGTGTTGTAGGAGTGACAGATAACTTAAAGGTGGAGGTGGGAGTGCATCAAGGATCAGCTCTGAGCCCCTTCTTGTTTGCTCTGGTGATGGACCGACTAACAGATGAGGTCAGGCAGGAATCCACATGGACTATGATGTTTGCAGATGACGTGATCTATGATGAGATCAGAGAACAGGTGGAAGAGAACTTGGAGAGGTGGAGGTATGCACTTGAAAGAAGAGGAATGAAAGTCAGCCATAGTAAGACAGAGTACATGTGTGTGAATGAGAGGGAGGCTGGTGGAACAGTGAGGCTACAAGGAGCAGAGATCACAAAGGTGCAGGACTTCAAGGACTTGGGGTCCACTGTCCAGGAAAATGGGGAATGTGGTAAATAAGTGAAGAAGAGAGTCCAGGCAGGATGGAGTGGATGGAGAAAAGTTTCAAGAGTGATTTGTGACAAAAGGATGTCAGCAAAGGTCAAAAGAAAAGTTTACAAGACAGTGGTGAGACCAGCTATGTTGTATGGTCTGGAGACAGAGACATGGACAAAAAGACAAGAGAACGAACTGGAAGTAACAGAAATGAAGATGTTGAGGTTCTCCTTAGGAGTGACAAGGATGGATGAGATTAGGAATGAGATCATCAGAGGAACAGCACAGGTTGAACAACTGGGAGATAAAGTTAGAGAGACCAGACTGAGATGGTTTGGACATGTCCACAGGAGGGACAGTGGTTTGGACATGTCCAGAGGAGGGACAGTGGATATTATTGGTAGAAGGATGTTAGAAATGCAGCTGCCAGGAAAAAGACAAAGAGGAGATTTATGGATACAGTTAGAGAGGACATGGAGGTAGCTGGAGTGAGGACAGAGGACACAGAGGACAGAGTGAGATGGAGGAGGATGATTCGCTGTGGAGACCCCTGAAGAGGGAAAAGCCGAAAGAAAAAGAAAAATCAAATGGTGCAGTTTGGATGAGTTTATTTACTCCAACAGTTTTCAACAAATATTAATGCACACGTGAAATGCAGGTATGCACTCAGTGTAAACAAACAATTTTATCTGCATACTTTATTGAATAAATGTAAGCAGTGCATTGAAACTGACCGACATCCCTAATAACGGGAACAGGTGACCCTGGACGTCACCTCTGTTGACCTATTTTCCGTCTTTTTGGCTGTTTCCAAATATCAACAAACTGTCAGGGTTTGTGGTATTTGTCGTGAGTATTTTTTGTTTATTGTTAGGTTTATTCCTTTTTTGTTCTCACGTTTCTTTTCTGTTTTGAAAACTTTGGGTTCAGTGTTTTTTCTTTGCGTTTCTCCTGCATCATTTGGTCCAATTCTCCTCAAAACCTGACACTAACACACGTGGAAGTTGGCATCTGTTTATAAACTTTGCTAGCAAATTTTTAATTTAAGGTCAGAGCTGCCATCAACACAAGAATAAATTACTTTTTATCTTTTTCATACTTTATTTTTTAAGTGATCTTTATGACAAGGAAATGATCATCTTTAAAAGTAAACATCTTTTGATTGTTCTTTTTTTGAATTGTTTGTAAAATGCAACTTTTTTTGACATCTAATATATCTGGAAATTATGAAGGCCAAAAAAAAAAAAAAAAAATCACAAGTGATTTTTTTTTATTTCCCAAAAGTTCGCAGCACTTCAACAGTCTCAAAAGGTTCACTTGTTTTCCATTTGTTTTGACATCTTTGCATAAAATGTGCCTGGCGGCTAGCTTGTCATGCTTTAAAACTGCAAGTGAGCAGCTGTCTTGCTCTGAATAACATTTTTTGATAACTCAGAGCAAATTGGGTCTTTTGGGAGGGCGGTTTATAAAGACAAGGGGTAAAGCAGAAAATATTTTAGAGAGAAGATAACAAAACAGTCCTGCAGCAGTGCCGATTATAAGACATAAAATATTTTTTAGAGGGCAGTAAAGCATGTTCAATGTCGAAACAGGCGTACAATAATAAATTTGTAAATGATTACTGTATATATATTTGAACCTTGAGATATCTTGATCTTTGCTCCTTCAGGTGACGTGAGCCTGCTGAAGGAGGAGTGCCGCATGCTGAGGGAGGAGTGTCAGACCCTGAAGGAGGACAACAGACGTCTCTCTGAGAGGCTGCAGCTGCTGCAGAGACAGAGGACATGGTGAGAGGTCAACGGCTGCTCGCTCATCAGCTGTGTTCATTTGATCAGCCGTGAAGAGGTGGTGGTGGGGGTGGGTGGGGGTGGGGGATACCCTCTGGACTACTGCCCTTTCCCCATCACAGCTGCGTGTCATGTAAAAAAACACCTACCACCTGTTTATTTAATTACTGCAGTAAACTTGTAACACCATACAGCTCGTCATTAGGCCATTAGATTTATTAAAGGATTGAAGGAATGCATATCGCCCACCTCCTTTCATGCCAGAATTTAAATCATCTCATGCTGAGAAAGTATGGAGTCAGAGACGTTTTGGACTAACCTCAAAATCCATCCATCCATTACCCTCTTCTTCCTTTTCGGGTCACTGGGGTTAATGGTACCCATATCCAGCAGTCACTTTGAGAGACGGGGGACACCCTGGACAGGTCTTCAGTCCATCACAGGGACACATAGAGACAAACAAGACAAAAAACTATTCACACTCTCTCTCACCTAGGGACAATTTAGAGTTACCAATGAGCCTAACATGCATGTTTTTGGTCTGTGGGAGGAACACAAAGTTGCATTTGGGTCCAAAACAATCTGGCCCGACTTGGCTGTAGCCCATAACCATCATTTCCGAACCCCACTTGACCTGACGAATTAACAGTAATTACAGGTGTGCCCCCCCCCCCCCCCCCCGATATTTTTAATTGAGCTTTGACTGCTTATATAGGTATTAATGGTTGGCGTATGCGCTCGGCTGAATAAAAAGAGCTGAGGGGGTGTTTGTCCTGTCATGGCCGTCAAAGTGCATTAAATCCCTGCTTCTGCTGCACTCTGCATTATTCAGACATGGACCCTGCTCTGACATGTCAGATATTTTGTGATCTCACCTGTTTGAGTCTTTGGCTGCGCGTGTCCACTGAGCGCAGTGGTCCATCTGAAGCTTAACTGAACTTTTTACCTCTTTCAAGGCCTGTCAGCGCGTGGTCAAATGGCTGCGTGCAGCTGGTGAAAGTATGGCAAGCCATGTTGCCATATAATTGAATTGTCAGCCGCTTGCAGCCGCTGACACAGTCAAAAGCCTAACACCAACTAGGCCCGCACATTAAGCACATTATTATGGTCCGGCCCGGTCCTAATCCAGGTCAGGCAGGGCCGGGCTCTGGGTTCGGGTTAGAAGTGACAGCTCTAAGCCAGAGTACCCACTCACCCACCGAGAGAACATGCAAACTCCACCTAGAAAAGACCCCTGCCGGGATTTTTAACCAGCGACTTTCTAGCTGAGAAGAAACAGCTCTACCAACTGACCCACTGTGCCACCTAACCTCAAAATGTCTAATTTATTAGTGGTTAAAATACCATCACACCAAATCCTAGTTTAATATCTATAAAATTGACTCCGAAGTCCATGCTCAATATTCCAGGTATAAAATCCAACAATGTTCAGTAAAATGTAATGTGTATATAAATGTAAAATTGACCATTATAACTGTTTTTGTGTTGACCAACGTCAATTAGCTGTGGCAGCCATCTTGAATAGAAAATGTTTTCTTTCTGAGTTTAGTTAAAATCCATCCAGTTTTCCATCCAGGTTCATGAGACATTTCGCTAACAGACAAACACTACCACATGCATGCACCAACATACTTTCATTGTTTAGTGATAAAGACAAAATGTTATCAATCAAATAAATAAAGTGATAAAAACATGGATGTTCTGAAAGCATTCTGAGTCTCTTTCACCACCACCCCTGCAGCTCCAGCGTCTACCTGTCACTGAAAGAGGAGGACACGATGGAGGGCACAGAGGTCGGGGAGACGAAGGTGTCCTCAGACGAGGTGATGACAGAGAGCTACATGACCATGGCTCAGTCTGAGAACTGTCACCTGGTGGACGCCTCCATCCAGAAGAACATCTCGTTCGATGGGAAGCCGGTGACGCCTACAAGCTGGAACGGGGGCATCAGTGAGATCCTATCTCTGAGAGACCAGCTGAAGCAGGCCGAGGAGAAGGCCTCCAAGGTTCAGAGAGAGGTAGGAGGCTTTAGAAACTGAGCAACACCAAGAAATTTATTCATTCAACCTTTATTTAAACAATTAAGACTCAAAGACTCATTTACAAGTGAGACCTGTTTGGACAGACAATTAAAAGTGGTGAAAATGACACATAGGGTTTGGAGACAAGAAAAAAAAAATCCTAACATGCTCTTAATCTTTGGTTGAAGGTCAACAGCGTGATAATGAAAAAAAATCTTGCACACGAGCACATAATGACGCCGACATTCCATATTATAAGATTTGAACGTTTGTTTAGATTGGAGCGCAGAACAGTTTCCTTTAATTCAAATAATTATGCTGTGTGTGTCTTCCAGTGTGACGGTTTGAAGATGGAGCTGAAGGAGCTGCAGGTATTGTACGACAGCAGCCAGAGGGAGAGAGCAGAGCTGGAGGAGGAGCTGCAGCGCTGCAAGGCAGAGCTGGAGAAGCTGTCAGGGGGGGCTCAGGTGAGAGATTGGACAGCCTCAGCCTGATGACACCAACACTGTAATGATGTAAGGTTTAGATTTAGAATGCAACTTAAATGACAAATTATAGGAACATGTGGAATCTTAAAGATCAGTAGTATTTGTTTCAATTTGTGACTTCTGAATAAAAAAAGATAGTTCAGATCATTTGAAGTGGAGTTTTGTGGAAAGGTAATAAATATCTTACCTGTTGTGGATAACTCTTTGAATGGCATCAGTTTGGAGAAAAACTGTTCGATTTTGGTTAGTCACAATCTAACAGTCCAAGTTGGACAAAACTAGTCAGCTTTGCATTGCAAGATTATTTACAGAGTTCTGTAAACTCTATGTAAAGTTTTGTCCATTTGCGTCTCCTTCCTGTCCTCTCAAACCCAACCAGTCGAAGCAGATGATCCTGAGCCTGGTTCCGCTGGAGGTTTCTTCCTGTTAAAAGGGAGTTTTTGTCTTTCCACTGTTGCCGCTGTGCTTGCTCAGGATGGGAGACTGTGACGAAATGAAGATTCAATGAGTCTGCTGGCTTATTTATATACACTTTTACTAATTGGCTTTTCTGTGAATGTGAATGTTCCTGTAAAGTGCCCTGAGACAAGTTTGTTGTGATTTGGTGCTATATAAATAAACTGAATTGAATTAGTCATAGAAAGTGGAACACCAGCTTGCTGAAGCAAATCTGGTGCAGCTCTGGGCACCTCCTGCAGGAATATTATAATATTTCTGCTGAAGCAAATATCTATCCCAAAATTTAAGCAGAGAAAAGTTTGATAAAACACTGTATCATTGCACGAAGCACAAGGGAAGTTTTGAGATTTGAGTTATGAAATTACTTTAATAGTTAAAAATAAACTCAGTTTATTTTAAAACTTAAGTTATAAAACAAAACTATCTACAACAGGTAAGATATTACTTGTTAGCAGAAGTACTGAATCCCACTTCAAGAGCTCCAAACAATTCATTAAACACAGTTTTATAATCATTATTTTTTATAATTATAGAAATGCCTTTTCTTTGCAGTCACACTATCAACTAACATGCCAAACCTCACATTACACCCTGTTGGACTCTGTGTACGTTGCCCACTTTTTTCTGTGTCCCATATTGTAGTGGTACATGTGCAGATATGAGCTGACCCGGCCCGTCAGCTCATATCTGTATTTATTGTGTGGTTTGGTCTGGGGGAGCACGTCCCCCCCAGAAGTGTCTGTGTCCTGACTTTTTCTGTGATGATGGTGCTTAAATACTGTTGGTGGACAAAAACACAAATATATAGGAAATCATTCAGGTACGGAAAAAATAACAGAAACTGGGTTATTAACTGTAAACTTTAGAGAAATCATGCAGAGTAATTCAAGAAGCTTTCAGGCATACACTATTATAAAACAAAAGTACAGTAGTCCCTCGCTACTTCGCGGTTCATTTATCGCAGACTTGCTATATCGTGGTTTTTCAAAATAAGAGTGGGCATGACACACTGGCTGATTGATGGATGAGCCGCACGATTGGCATGGAATTTTTATTTTAAATTAATTATTTTAAATTATTTAGCACCTGCTGCACATCTGTGCGGCCTACACTGCAGGATAAACTCTCTGCTGCAGCTGATCAGCTGGTCTCCATGCAGAGTGGGAAGTGGGCGTGGCCAAGAGCTCTTGCAGGTGGCTGAGAGGAGGCAGAGAGCTAAAATCACAACATTTTGTGCTCTTTTAGGGCGTTTAGAAACATTGTTTAGAATATTGCAAGAGTGTGGGAAGAGTT